AGTGAGGAGTGTGCCTCTTAGTTCAAGTAGACACAAGAGACTAAAAGGGCAGCTTCTGTCTGGAGGTGAGATGGGAAGGCAGAGAGGGTTAGGAACTGGCTGAATGGACATGGGGAATCAGGGGAGGAAAGGAGGAGTGTGCTGTCATAGTATGGGGGGAGCAATTAGTCACATAACAATGTATGTATAAATTTTTGTATGGGAAAAAATTTAAAAAATCCTCCCAACAGTGAAACATTCATATGAAACTTTTAGTTTCTCAAATAAAATCACTCTTGTTATCTAAAGAGGACTATTAAATGACCTTTTAAGACACATAAACATTCTTACAAAGTCTGTATTTTCCTAAATGATCTTCTACTTAAGAGAAACATAAACCAGCTCACTATCTTTAACAATCTCTTAGACTACTGTTGTCTAGAAACTTGAGAATACATGAAAAACATCTCAGCTATTATAGGATCAAAGGTGCCATTTAGATTTCACATATTAAATAGCTACAGTACAGCCTACAATGGCACAAAAACACCTAACACATAAATACTACTTTGTCATTTAGCTAGTCAAAAGTCTGAAAGTAATTTAACTTCGTGTGGTCATTAAAATCCAATAAGTAATTCAAGTATGTTATATAAAGGCAGGTAATTAAAGGCTCAAATAACAATCTAAGATCAAAGACATGAAAATAAAGGCTGACAATTTTGTGTTTCCCCATCTTTCATTTCCATGGTTAGATGTCCGAACCTTGCAGTAGAAAATATAGTTACTACATACAGTTTCCCCAGAAGATAACGAAGCTTCAGAAAATGCATAATGTGTCAAGATCCATAGTTTGCTTCATCAAATGCTTTTCGAGCTCTTATCAATTCTTTGTTCAGGGTAAGCAAGTCTTTAACCCTAGCAAGCTTTCTCTGTCCTTTCACATCAAGAAGTTGATATCTTCAGCTTGTACTTGACCTTGTCGTCCAACTGACACTGCCTTATGTGTCATTTCAGTGATGAACTCTATGACAAGGCCTTCAAGAATATCTACTGACTATCCTGAACTACAAAAGTAGTTTCCATAGCCACATATGGTTTTAGTCAAGTATACATTTCCACAGTGAGCAAGAACTAACAAATATGTTAATAAAACACTACCCCAAATGCTTATCCTGCCATCAGCTTTTTAAGCAATGCCATTCCTGATACTGTAAGGATTCTGGTCATCCCCAAACCCATACATCATACATCGTAATTCTTTAGAAAAAAAGTCTCTTTGTTTTGCCCTGTCTACCTTCTGTGCCTCCTCCAATTTCTTCATTTTCTTCCTCAAAGGTGGCATCTTCTTCCTCATTTGCCATCCCATCAGTCTGCCAACTTCTTGCTCTACATGGGTTTTCTCGACCAATAATGAGTCTTTTCTTATTATTTGAAAAATCTTCTCTTTGTCTTTGGTGCTCAGAGTTTTATGATGATGTGTTTATGTGAGCATTTTCTTTTATTTGTTGTGCTTCAGACTCATCGTGATCTGAAGCTTCTAGTCTTTATCAATTCTGAGTGACTCTCAGTATCTTATTATCAGTATTATCAGTATTTTAATATTGCTGCTCCTTTATTTTTTCTATGCTCTTCTTTAGTATTGCTTTAGGTATACATTGTGCCTTCTTAAGTCTCTTAACCTCTTAAATCTTTTCCATGTCTTTATTTGTGTTTCATTCCATGTAACTTCTTTATCTTCAGTTCACTAATTTCTGTTCAGGTTTATCTAATATTCTGTGTAATCCATCCAGTGAGTTTTTAATTTCAATGACTATCTTTTACTGTCTGCAAACTCTATTTGTTTCATTTGAAAATCTGCTTGGTCTTTTTTTAATAATGTCCTACACTTTCTCATAGTTAGGATTCCTTTTATGTCATTAATCATTTTAAGTATACTTATCTGACTGTTAATATTATTATGAGAAATTTTTTAGGATGCTCTTCTTGCTCTGCTGATTCAGGCTCATGATGTATTGTTTACCCTTGGGATTGCATATTTATCTTTAATCTTACTTTGTAAGTGGAATCTATGAATCTTCGATTTAAAATTCATACTTCCAAGAGCATTTGCTTCTATTGGATACTATAAGGAGATCAGGAGCATCTAAATCATTTGGTGGGGGGGTTAATTTCTTAGCTTAGGGGATCTAGGATCATGCATACAATATTAATGCAAATCCAAAACATTACTATAGCCAGGCCCATGATTATGAATTCTCAAGAGAATTTTTTTTTATTTCTATCCAGAAGTGGACCTCTGAGACAGATAAATTCTTTATTTGTTTTATTTTATGAGATAATGAGCATTTTTTTTCTTTGTAATCCATGCTTTCACTGACAGTTCTTTGAGAATCTTTACCTTAGTCTGAAGCTACAAATCCAACTCCGTATTTTGCTCTAGCCTCAGACCTCATCCCTAACCTCCATGAAAATGTTAAAACTCAGGACTGTTGGATATTCTGGAGTTTACTATCATAATATTCAGGTTCTTCTTTATTTTTGGTCTTCAGGCATTTCCCTTACTTTCCTGTGACCTCACCTTTGCATTTCAAGAGTTATTTATTACATTTTATCTAGCATTTCTGGTTGTTTTATATGGAAAAGATTTCAAGTTATTTAGACTTCCATGTTTCTGGAAATGGAAGCTTTAATTACTTGTTCAGGGTCTGCTTCTCCATCCAGACTTCAGGATACATGAGAATAGCAACTGTCTATCTTGATCAGAACTAATTTTTGAAACTTAGAAGACTGCCTAGCACAAGAAGGTGCTTATTTAATACTTGCTAAATAAATATTAAATTGTACCTAGAGTGAATATTAAGCCAACATTGGCAACTTAGATAGGAGGAGGAGGCCTACGGTGAAAAAAAAAAAAAAAAGACTCCACAAACAGAAATGTGAGAGCATCAAAAACAAACTTGCCTAATGCACATTATTGTCTAAATACAGTCCACAAAGGCAGCCAATTTCAGGAGGAAGTGGTTTACATGGTCATTTACATGGAAGGAAGTAGAAATTATCTAGGTTCTAGGTAATTATAGCCCTTAATTAAAAAAAAAAAAAAACAAAGCTCACTGTAAGGAATGTGTCTGATTAATTGAAATGAGAAATAACATCTTAACATACAACTACGAAAGTTAAAATTTGCTTTTGTAGGCAGATGAATAGGTCCAGATACCAAAAAATTAAGTTTAGTCTCTCACATAAATATGGAATCCTAACTCTTTATAAATTTGTTTAATGAGAAGAGTTTTTTAAAATATTTCTGAAGTTTAATAATAGCTAATATTTATAGTGTACTTACTATATGCTAGTCAAGTTTCCCAAAAGTTTTGCATATATTAATTTATATAATCTTCATAATAACCCATTTTACATATGAGGAAACTTAGATACAGAAAATATAAGAAACTAAAATCACTTACCCAAAGTTACATAGTAAATAGCAGAGCTGGTATTCAAACTCTGGCATACTGACTTCAAAGCCAGGCTATACTGCATGATGGGTATAGTGTACTTGGATTGAAGTCAGATTTGTGGGGTAGCATTGTGATATATCATTACATGTGCAAACACTGTTATCTGAATCTGCTCAAAGTGAAACTCCTCTATTTTTTTAAAAAGGCTTAATCAAGAGGAGCATATAAATATAACAGCAGAAAATTATCACGGTTATATATTTTTTAATATCTTAATGGTTCACAGGCAAGGTGGTAATGGCGTGATAGCAGACGTTGTCATGAAGTTTCGATTCACTAGAAGTAACAATGGAGCATCCTTGAAAAGCAGAATTGAGTCTGTTTTACACCAAATGCTGAATAACTCTGGAAACTTGGAAATAAGTCCTTCAACCGAGATAGCATGTAAGTGTCATTTTATATGCCACTTTATTTCAATATATCCATCAATTTTACCAATTCTAATTCACATTTTAATTTAATTAGAGGCTGATTTTTCTTTCCTTGCAATTAAACTTTATGAAAATAATGTATTACTAGTCTAGATATAACACATAATTCTAATACAAAACATTCTAAGATTTAAATAATTTAACATTCATATAATAAATTTTATTTGCTAAAAATTCTTTATTAATTATCCTTCCCAACACTTCTTGTGAGGGATGTTACTGTTGGATGTTTAATTTGTGAATATATGCTATTGGAAGGGTAAATAACTGTTCAAGGTCCATGAACATTTACTTAATGATCCACCTCACCCAACATAGGACCTGGTGTATAATTGAAGGGTACTCAATAAATGTAGAATAACGAAGGAAATTTGAAAATGTGTCAGCTCCTCTCTGACTCCTCTCTAGGTCTCTCTGAAAATCCCCTTTACTTCTGCCTATCTTGAATGTATTACCATTTTTCCCTATTGCTACCAACCTGGTCGAAGCCAATATCACCGCTCACTAATACTCTGTTAATAGCCTCCTTACTACTCTCTTTACATCTTTTCTTGGCTGCTTCCATCTATTGACCACATATCAAAGAGATATTTTTAAATACAAATATAATCATGCTTAAAAGCTTCCTATGGCTTCCCATAATGTAAAATTTATAAAACCATCACTTGTAAGCAGGATACCATATTTCCTGGTTTGCCAGGGCAGTCCCAGTTCATAACAATTGTCTAAGAACCATTATTAATACTGCTCCCTTTCACTGTAAAAAAAACCTTAGTTTGGACAATAAATGGTATGTCTGCTCTACCTAAAACTCTTCATGATCTTGTTCATACTTACCCCTGCAGTCACTTATTGTAGCACTCTCTTCCTCATTCATCATAATCTGACCACATTTTCTTTTTCTCCATCTTCCAAGCTCCTTCCTGCCTCAGAGGACTTTGCATACATTGTTCCAGTTTCTTATAATAACTCCCAAATCACTGGCTTGCATCCTTCATTTCTCAGCTGAACCATTGCTTTCTCAGGGAAACTCTCTGATTCTCATTACTGAGTTATTTACCTGTGTCCTTCACAGCATTTATCACAATTGAAATTGCAAATTTTTGTGTAATTTTCATATTGTCTTCATCACTACTCCATAAACTTCATAAAGTCAAGAACCAGTCTCCTTGTTCAGCCTACAGTCCTTCTGCCACCCAGTACCTAGTATATAGGAGATGATCAATACATATTTGTTGTAAGACTAAAAGAAAGGAGTTACTTAATATATGCATAGAATTAATGGACACTTGTCCAACTTTGTCAAGTACTGATAGTTTAAAGACACAATCCCCTCATAATAAGCTCGAGGTTAAAAGGATACTAGTGGTTCTCATACTGGGCTGGTATTCAATCAGTATGTATGAGTTTCCACAATACTAGTTGCTAAAATATTGAAATACTTTCCTATTTGTTGGTAAACTAGGCCTACAAAGTGTTTCCTCAGCCCTTCCAAATCCTTCCATCCTCTATCCTGGACTCCTCCATCTGCAACTAAAGAGTTAACATTTGGCACAGCTACAACCTCCAGGACACTATTCCAGCTCCATAGCCTGCTCCCTCTTTCTAACTAGTTGATTCCAGTGCCATCCAGTTTTTTAAATAAATGAGAATTACCTCGGCTCCTACACAATTAAGGAATTCTTCCAAAAACACTTCCCAAGCGCTTGTTATTTGTTTAGCATTGTGTTAACCAATGTGGGGATACAACAGTAGCATAAAAATGGTCTTCACCCCAGGAGCTCATAATCTGGTTGAAGAGAAAGATATCCCAACACAAGAGTGTTGACAAACAAGAGAGCACATGATCAAGTGCCAAATATGGAGCACAGACAATAACCACTATAGAAATCCAGGAAAGGAAAATACCAAAGTGCTTGTGATTTCTCAGCAAAAGCTTCATGAAGGAGGATGGACTTTGACTTTAAAAGATGAGTAGGATTTCCATATTTTGAAAAGAAAAAAGAAATACTGCTAGTGATGGAGAGCTTGAGAAAAGACAAATAGTCTATAATAAACACAATGCTTTTGCAGAACAAGTAAGAAAGGGGCCTGCGGGAATGACTGGTTTGCATTGTCATTATCCTCATCACTGTCAGCAAAACACCTAATATTTACTGAGCACTTACGATTTTTTATGCATGGTTTTAAGTTTCTTGTATTTTTTTTTTTCATTTCCTCCTCACAACAACCATATTCCATAAATACTTGTATTATCCTCAGTTAGAAGAGTTAGACAACTGTCCAGGGCCACAGTCCATATGTGAGGAAGTCTGTATGTGAACAAGCTCTCTCTTGCTCAAAGAATGAAGAGTGGAGTGGACAGCTCTTTTTATTTCTTCAAAAGGATTATTTGGGTCGATGGAGGCATGCAAAGCAAATGTGATACCCAAAACTTGTGAAATTTCTAGCAGGAAATAAGGTTGCCTAAAATGATTTTCCCAAAAGCATGAAAACCTGTTTGAGAGATTTGGGTTTATCTTATAGAAAACGAGAAGTCACTAAGAGATATCAAGCAGGGAAGGATATGACATAACATATACTTTTAGAAAAATTAGCCTGGCAAAATAGAGGTGGAGGAATTGAAAAAGTGCAAGAGAGGAAGGAGCGGACACAGGTTGACAGTATAAATGACAAATGATGAAAGCATGATCTAAAGTAGTAGCAAAAGGAACGGAGAGGAAGAAGTAGATGGTGCTCAGCTACCACTATGACTGTTCAGATGAGGGCCATAATAGATGGACCCTGATAGATTGAGAGAGAAACACAGAACAGAACTCAAATTTTTAAAAAGTCAGACTTACTGGACCAGTTGAGACTGGAAGACTCCCTAAGACTATCACCCTGAGATACTCTTTAAACCTTGAATCAAAACTATCCCGAGGTCATCTTTTAGTGAAATAACAGATTGGCACACAAAATAGACGGTCAGCAAAAGAGAGGAAGACCCTCCACAAGATGGACTGACACAGTGACTTCAACAATGGGCTCAAACACAGCAACGATTGTAAAGATAGCAAAGGACCTGGCAGTGTTTCGTTCTGTTGTACACAGGGTTGCTATGAATTGGAACTGACTCGACGGCACCAAAAACACAATCACAACAACACACAAAATAGAGCATAGTATCCATGAAGATGATGCTCCATTAAAACACCATCTATATGAAACCAAAAGGTCAACAATTACTCTAGAGCAAAGATGAGAAGATAAAGGGGCAGGGAAACTAGAGTAGTGGAAATGGAACAACCAGAATGCAATTAAAGAGAATGCTGACATACTAATGTCACTAATGTCACTGAACAATTTATGTAGAAAATATCAAATGGGAACCTAATTTTCTGTATAAAGTTTTCACTGAAAACACAATAAATTATAAATTAAAGAATGTGTGGGAAGAATGGGGCAAATTCAAGGACTATTTAGGAGCTAGAAGGCACAGAACCTGGAGACCAATTAAATGTGGAAATAATGAGAAAGGAGGAATTGGAGATAATTTCAGATTTCAAGTCACTTACTAAAGGAAGGAATATAATGTCAGCAGCAAATTTTGGATAAAATTTTATGACATTGAGTTTGACATGGCTGTAGGACATGCAGAGAAAACTACCCTATAAGCAGACCTTAAATTGGAATAGACAGACCTTTGCTATCTAATACTGAGTTTCTTTTCCATTTTATCCCATCAATTCCCTACGATGAATGCAATCTATGCTCTTGCTCTACTGACTTTATTTCTCTACAAACAGTCTTACACCTTTATGCATTTGCAGCCACTATCTTCCACCTGGAATGCCTTTCACCTCCTCCATCTGCCTGAAAAATTCCTTTTAGGTCTTCAAAATCCAGCTAAATTATTATTATTATTTCCTTCATGACAACTTCTGTGATTCTCTCAGATAACATTAATTACTCTCTGGTTTTGTCTCTCCACTTTGCATTTACATTTATTTGGATGATTCTTTGATGAATTTCTGTCTGTAAATTATGTAAGGGTTAACAAAACCAAGCCCATTGCCACTGAGTCAATTCCAACTCACAGCAACCCCATGTGTTACAGAGTAGAACTGTTCCATAAGGTTTGCTTGGCTGTAATCTTTATGGAAGCAGATCATCAGGCCTTTCTTCTGTGGCACCATGGGGTGGGGGTTCAAACTACTTTAGGGTAGTAGTCGAGCACAAACTGTTTACATAATCCAAGGATCTTTGTAAGGGTCGAGTTGATTCCAACTCACAGCGACCATATAGGACAGAGTAGAACTCCCCCATAGGGCTTCCAAGGTGCAGCTGGTGGATTCGAACTGCCAACCTTTTGGTTAGCAGCCAAGCTCTTAACCACTGCACCAAGAGGGCTCCTTTGTAAGGGTACGGCCCCTATATTTTGTTAACGGCACTCAGAATAGTACCAGTAGATATAAAACATTCATCATATCGTGTCACAATGACTTGCTTATAATTTTTGTCTTCCCAACTAAATTGACTGACTTGAGAGGAGCGATATCTTTCAAATATTTGAAGAAGAATTAAAGCAAGAGTACTTAAACTTCATTTAGCATGCATTCAAATAAATTGGGGGGAGATTTCAGGGCCTATTCCTTAGAGATTCTTTCAGCAGTTCTGACATGGAATCTGGGAATGTGCCGTCTAGCAAGCCTTTCCCCTGATTTTGATTCTTGTTATCTGAGTACTACACTTTGAGAAATCAATGTGAAATGATGTACAGTCCTTCTTGTACTGATTTTATTCTCACACTTCTTTTTAACACCAGCACTTACTGATCAAGATGCTGCAGATATTTTCACGAAAGGTAAGTTTTAAAATTATTTCGGAAGTGTGGTTTACCAAAATATAAAGAGTAAAATATGCAAGCCCATTGTACTCTTTGCCAATTGGTTTACAGCATTTTTCAAATTCTCTGTTTCCTTACTTATCTTATGACTGGTTTTCTGTCAATTATTTAAGTTAGGGTCTTGAAGTCTATTTCTTTTTTCAATCCTGTCAATGTTTGCTTCACATATTTTGGGGCTTTGTTGTTAAGTGTGTATATGTTTACAACTGTTATATCTTCTTGATTCGTTGAACCTTTTATCAATGAATAATGTCCTTTGTCTCTTGGAAACTTTTTAAAGTTAAAAAGTCTTACAATAATATAGCTACCCCCAACTCTCTTTGGGTTACTATTGGCATGGAATATCTTTTCCCATCCTTTTACTTTTAACCTCTTTGTGTATTTCTATCTAAAATGAGTCTCTTGTAGACAGTATGGAGTTGGAGATGGACTTTTTTTTTAATCCATTCTGCCAATTTCTGCCTTTTAATTGGAAAGTTTAATCCACTCACACTTAGAGTAATTACTAATAAGGACTTACTTCTGCCATTTAGCTATTTTTTTTTTTTTTCCTGTAGGTCTTATATGCTTTTAGTTCTTCAGTTCCTCCATTACTGCTTTTTATTTTGTATTTAGTTTATTTTTTGTAGTGTATCATTTTAATTCCTTAATTTCTTTTTCTGTATATTCTTTAGTTATTTTCTTAGTGGTTACATTGCTGATTACAATGAACCTCTTCAGCTTGTAACTATCTAGTTTGAATAATACCAAATTAGTTTCAATAGTATTCAAACATTTTGCTCTTATGTATCTCCATCCCTCCCTCTTTATATTGTTATTGTCACTGATTACATCTTTGCACAATGTGTGCTCACTTAGATTTATAAATATTGTTTTAAGCATTTGCCTTTTAAATAATATAGGAAAAATAAAAGAGGAGATACAAACCAAAAGTACAATAATACTGAATAATACTGGCTTTTATATTTACCTATGTAGCTACCTTTACAAAGATGGATTGTTCTGAGAGATATTGCTGATCCCATTGCCACGGAGCGATGTCTAGATTTTTCCCTCCTTTTAGAAGAGGGAGGAAGTAACAATAGCCTACCCCCCACTCTGCACTCAAGCTTGTCCTCATGAAAATTTTCTTGGCAGCTTTAGGAAACATGTCTTGCTCTAGTTCTGTGGTGGCATTTCTGTACCTTGTAAATTATGTTTGTTGACACCATTTATGTGGCTTCTCCTAACCAGAACAGCTTGCTTAGTTGTGGATTCAGGTTAATCATAAGGTGTAATAAAAAATTTATATATAAAAAGTCTTGTCAGTTTTGGTCTGTAGCCTGAAGGGAGTTGCTACTTTTAAATGCCATCCTATATATTCTTTGGCTAGGACAGCAGAAATATAATCCCTAAAAACAACTGTTTACTTCTCTGGCCGATAGTATACAGTTAGAAAATAGTTCATTACACACGGATATCTGACCTATTTTGAATACAAGTGATTTTACACAGTGATGCTACCTCTATGGATGTTTTTCAACTTCTTTACATATTTAATTCATACTTCTTTTTAATAAAAATGTGCTTAAGTAATTTACTAAAGAAATTTGGGGAATGCAGCAAAGAAACCTTTCTTCTGTGTATATTCCTGATGGAAGATTGACCCTCCTCTATATGGAAAGTTTGATAGAAAAAAATTCCTTTGGGTAATTGTCCTATAGAAGCAGGGTCACTAATCTAAATAGAAATTGTTGGTGATGGTTTACCTCTAATTTCTTGGTACTAGATTAAATAAGCACCATAGGAGTGGAGGATGAGAAGAGTTGAGTAATCAGCCCACCAGATCAGCTCTGGACGTTGGAGTCGTCATGCGCTTTCTTAAGTCTTTTAAATAAACCTCGTCTAGATTCTTGAAGCCCTCACTAACCCTGGATGATACATTCTGGACAGAAAGCAACTCCTTTTTAAGAGGACGTTTGATAATATAAGTCAATTCTGGAAGTGGCCTGGAACCTCCATGATGAAATTGAATATCACTAAAAAGTCCTTTAGACAAGAGTAGTGGTCTTCAAACTATATTGTGCATACAAATCACCAGAGCATCTCATTAAAATACAGTTGCTGGTTCATTCCCTGGTATGGATCCTGAGAGTTAGCGTTCTAACAAGCTCCTTGGTGATGCCCAAGTCCACAGATTACACTTTGAGTGGCAAGACTACAGAAAAGAAAGAAATTCCCCAGGGAACCTGTGGCATGAGCTGGTACATCCAGCACTGACCTATCTTAAATTCCACTCATGAGGAATTTCAAAAAATTCTGAATCTGCTCCAGATTTTGAAGCCCAAATGCCAAATAACGTTCAGAAATCTTCTCAAAAATGCAGTCCATAGGCCCTAGTAGTCACATACGCACTTTAAAAATACAACACATTGATAATACTTTTGGAAAGTCTAGCATATCCTGGGGAAGAACATATTCCTGCATATGTGGCAGTTGGGGGTGAAGGAATATGGAGTGTGGAGAAGGATGAGGCAAGAGACATGAAAGAAACTAATGATGTGGAAACTCTTGTAGCATCTCCCAAATGCAAATGAATCATGATCTTCCCAGTACACTAATGCACTTTTTTCATTAGAATGTGGGGCCCGTCCAGACCTAATCACACTGTCCGATGAGAGAATCATAGGAGGCTCTCAGGCTGAGGAAGGAGACTGGCCATGGCAAGTCAGTCTACATCTCAATAATGTTCACCACTGTGGAGGCATCCTGATCAGTAACACATGGATCCTGACAGCGGCTCACTGCTTCAGAAGGTGAGCTACCTGCCATTTGTGAACAGCTAGGATAAACATGTACATGAGAATTCTACCCACTACCCCCAGGACTGAAGCCCTGGTGGTGCAGTGGTTAACAGCTCGGCTGCTAACCAAAAGGTCAGCAGCTGGAATCCACCAGCCACTCCTTGGAAATCCTATGGGGCAGTTCTACTTTGTCCTACAGGGTCACTGTGAGTTGGAATTGACCAGGTGGCAATGGGTTTGGTTTTTTTTGTTTACCTCCAAGACTAAACATGATTGGATTGAGCCAGAAATAACACAATTCAAAAAATTAATGAGCCATTTCTTCCTATCAATGATAGTAAAATTATCATATTTCCTTCAACTTGGCAATAATTTACTGTTATTTCTCTGTTCCGGGTAATAAACCCATTGCCATCAAGTTAATTTTGACTCATAGCGACCTATAAGTTGGAATCGACTCGATGGTAAAGGGCTTTTACATTAGCTTATTTAATCCTATTAATAACACTAAGACATAGATAGTAATATTGTCCCTAATTTGACAAAAAAAAAAAAATGAGGCTTAGAGAAGTTCAGTAAATTTCTTAAGTTTTCATAGCTAGTATTTAAACATTCTGACACATAAACCATTGCTCTTCACCATGATGCTACCATATTACCTGGAACAGAGAAATAATAGTAAATTATTGCCAAGCTGAAGTAAAAATGATAATTTTGCTATTGTGGATAAGAAGAAACGGCTCATTAATTTTTAAAATTGAATTATTTATGGCTCAATCTAATCATGTTTTCAAAAAATTATTGCGTATCTACCATGAGCACAGTGTACGTATTATAGCTACTAATATAAAGTACGGCCTCTGCTTTCAGGGAGCTTACATTCTAACGTTGGAGGTATACATGCACAAAAATAATGATCGATTACAGTGAGTGCCATACATAAAATGAATTTGAACAATTTAGAAGGCTACTGCTAAGACTAGGGTACTAAGCTGCTAGTGGTGAGTAGGTTGCAAAATCTTATTCTATTGGTATAAAGAAAGAGTCGTATTGCTCAGGAAAGGATTTCTTTAGACTTCAGCATGATGAAAACCTGTTAGGTTCAGACCTATGTTATTCGTGGGGCAACCTAGACCCCAACAGTTGTTTTCTAATGGAACTAAACTCAAAAATTCACTCAGAATAGTGATGGTGAACTGAACTCAGTGTGCCCCTGATCATATATCTATTCTCTTAGACTCTTTCAATAACTCACCATCTAAAATCCAACCTCCTTACCAGTGTCTAAAGCCTTTCACAGACAGATCAATCTAGACTTATTTCTCAAAGCATGAATCCTGAGCTTCAGCCACACAGCATTATTCTTTTCCCCTGGACTCTACCTGCACTTTCCCACCTATGAGCATTTGCTCAATCTGTTTCCTCTCTCTGAAATGTTAATGTCCCTTCCAAATCTCCATCTCTTCCTATTGGAATTCTATTAAACTTCTACGGTTTCAAAAGAAATCTTCCGCAGATTTGAAGGCATTACCTCATAACATGGAGCCCTGGTGACACAGTGATTAAGAGCTTGGCTGCTAACCAAAAAGTCAGCAGGTGGAATCCACCAGCCACTCCCTGGAAACCCTATGGGGCAGTTCTACTGTGTCCTATAGGGTCGCTATGAGTCGGAATCAACTCAATGGCAATGGGTTTGGTTTGCACCTCATAATACAGTGCTTGTTACAAAAGTATTTGTTAAATTAAATTAAGAAGGCGTAAAGGTTAACAAGACTAGTGCATAGTTTTTGGAAATACAAAAGTTTTAGGAAATCCTAAATTATTCTGAATGTTTCTTATGGCTTTCTTATAATTTGACACTTTTAAACACAGTGAATAAATTTGAAATTTATTCCAAAAGATGTTCCAGAGTTAGCAAATTTCTGATTCATTGCTATGTCTCAGGTAATAAAATATATAGACAATTTCAATTTTCATTGCCACCTAAAAGGCCAATCAGAAGGAGTGGCACTAATTTATTTCAATCTCCTTGGAGTGTGGGAACCAGAAACATTAATGCCTGGACTCGGCTGGCACTTAACATAACCAGATATGCATAGAAACAGTACTCTTCTGATGCTATTCAGACCCAAACACAAAAACCTAAATAAAGAATATAACTATATTGAAAACGACAGCTATAAACATCACTAATAGTTACAAAAGAAATCCATGATTTTAAAGTCTTGGAACACTTCTGAATTCTGCTTCCTCAAATCCTTTGAGTCACTACCAAGATTAATCCACTAGAGCTAACAAACCACATGAACTATATATGAGCATCCTCCCTATAGATTCCCAGCTTCACCCGATAGGCACTGAGAACCTATCAAGGAGGGTTTCTTTGGGGCATGACCAGCCCTACATCAAGATACACAGAAGTGATAAAGCCCTCTTAGGGAGGGCTGTTGAATTAATTGTCACCTCTTTTGTGAAGCTTTCCCTAATGCACTCTTCCCTACTCAGACTGTCTTCCCACAGAAATGTGCTTATCTATCTTGAACAGTAGTCTCTGTGATTTATTATAGCTTATTTCTCTCTATCAGTCTCCTCCACAAGTGTGTGGAGCTCCTCAAGGGTAGAGATCATAAATTACTTATGTTTTTTATTCCCAGAGACTCATACTATTCTTCATACAAATAGACACTTAGTAATGGCTTGTTGAACTACAATTAATGAAAATAACAGCTATCTTTATTGGGTGCTTACTTTGTACCAAGCATTGTGCTTGACACACTTTACTTGCCTCAATTTATACTTAAAGCTATGTGAGAGGGTATTATTAATCACATTTTTCACATAAATAAACTAAGAATTAGCAAGATTAAGTAACTTGCCCTAAATAACACTACTACTATGTGGTATGTTGTTGTTAGTTGCCACTGAGTCAATTCCAACTCGTGGTGACCAACTCATGGTATAGCCAAAATTTAAATCCAGATCTAGCTGGTTCTAAAACCGTGCCGTTATTCATTTACTCGAAAGAAGAGAGGAATAGAAAAAGGAAGTGAGGGAAGAAGGAAAGAAAGAAGGGAAGAAGAGAAAGAAGGGTCCCTTTAGAATCTTCACAATATAACTTTAATACAGGAACAATTTTCTGTAAAGATCCTGAGTAAAAGAAATTGAATGTAAAATCATGGGTTTGCTTGTTTTTAAATATTTTTCCTTTAAAATTTTTAATGAGGGTTCACTCTTACACAAACTACTGTACTTTTAAAAGTTTCTTGGACATACAATTTTTATTTTCTGTATCAATTCGCTATCCAAACTCCAAAATACTCTTCAATTGTTATTTTGTTACATTTTGTTTTTATTCAACCTTAGGAGCAATGTTGAGCTAATCAACTCTCCAGTTCACAGATCCTTATTTTCCTCAGTATGTATGAGGCCTTTCTCTCATTTTATTTTTTCTCTTGCCATTCTGGGCCCCACTTCCAACTGCCCACCTTGCACAGATCTCACACTAATACATTTAGATATGTCTTTAAAAATACATGAACCTGAAAAACCTATAATGTTGTTTTTGTGTGGATATGCTCTTAATTTATATAACTAGCATTGTAGTATAAATCTCATTGTTTTTTACTGTTTTCACTCAACTCCGCAAATTTTCATCTGGTCCACTGGCACATACTATTCCATAGCATGCATCCACCATATTTCCTTCATCCAACTAGGTTGCTCCAACTTCCCAATGCCACAAAGAGTTTATACAAACATAAATCTTCATATATGTTTCTTTATAAACCTTCAGGAATTTCTTTGAGATATGTACCGAGAAGTACATAGGCAGTCTGCTAAATACTTTCCAAAAAGACACAATGCTTCCCAGAAGGGTTATAACAGTTTACATCTTCATCCATAATGCAAAAGAAATCTAATTTCTTCTCCTCCTCACCAGCATTTAGTTTTATTCTCCTTTCTAATTTTTATCATTCTCATGAATATAAATTAAAATCTCATTATTGTTATAATTTGCATTTCTCAGATTATTAGTGAGTTTGAGTGTCTTTTCATATATCTATTAGCTGTTTGGACTTCCCCTCCCATGAACTCCCTATTAACATTCTTTTTCCATTTTATAATGGTTTTCCTATCCTTTTATTTTGGGTTTACAGAAGTTTTTTGTATATTATACAAGAATTTTAGACATCAAACATTGCGAATATTTTTTCATGGTTTCTCACTCATCTGCTAAACTTGTCTATGGTGTGCTTAATTTTTATTTAGTTAAATCAACTCATTTTTTAAACTTAGGATTTATGTTTTGAGAGTTGATCTGAAAAGTAACAACTCCTAGACCACAAAGATAATGCCCTACTTTCTTTTTTCCTACTTTTTTTATGTTAGTGTTCTCTCTCCTCTCTCTATATATATACATATACACACACACATAGTTATGTATGCATGTATGCATGTATATGTGTATGTATATATAGATTGTATATAATATATATGATATATGATAAATATCAAAATTTTCAACATGCATTACACTTACTACAGAAAAATCATTCATCCATTAACAAGACAAAGATGCCCCTTATCACTACTACTATTTAAATGGAGCTTGTGGCTAAAGGCAAGGAAAGAAGAAAGAAGGATTGGAAGAAATGAGTCAAAACTAAAATCGTCATTATTTCAGATTTGTTAATTGCTTAGAAGAGAGAGTTTAGGAAAGGGAAAAATCAAAGAGGAGTTTTGCTCTATGCTAGTGGTCATCAAAGTGGCAGAAAATCCTCATTGGAATAGAAAAGTACCAAGAAATTCATTATCCAAAACATGTTTTCTACAATTTTTTTGCTTTTTTAGACAAATGATCATTCATTCTGCCATAAGAGTTAAACCCATTTACTAGCTTGTAATTCAGGAATATATAGCAAAGAGATGCCAATCAAATAGTTCCAGATTGGGAGAAGGGAGGAGGTGGTAAACATGTAATCCATATATTTGAAATGCTCACAATTCTGTATTTAAATAACATGTTTTCATATTTTTTAGCTACTCTGATCCTTATCCATGGACTGTCACCTTTGGTCTTTCTACAACTTATCCTAAACAGAGAATAAGCGTAAGGACTATTATAGTCCACAACAATTATAAATCTGAAACTCATGAAAATGATATTGCACTTGTACAACTTAACAAAGGAGTCACCTTTACCAAAAATATCCATAGTGTGTGTCTCCCAGCAGCTACCCAGAATATTTTGCCCGGTTCTACTGCTTATGTAACAGGATGGGGATCTCTAACATATACTGGTGAGTTTCTCGGGAAAAATAAAACAAAAACAACAAAAAAACACTGTTATTTTTTATTAAACACACTTTTAAATTAGGGAACATCTGGAGGACAGGTTATATGGACAGAATCATCCTATATTTTGGTCAGCCTAAATTCTGTTTATCCCTGAGTTCCCTCAGCAACGCAAAGCAATGCCCCTAGAAACCATGGAGATTTTCCAAAAATAGTCAAAGTAAGTGTAAGAGAAAATGATTAAGATATTCTTTAATGATCATAGTTACAGATCCAGAGACTCTCTAGCACTCAAATGACTCCCCTATTAAAAAAAGGATTTGGATATACAATTTAAGGGTGTTTACAGCATTAAAGTATTCTGAAATGAAATGAATCTTGCCTCTAGGACAATGAGATGGATTGACACAATAGCTAAAGCAATGGACTCAAACACAGCAAGATCATGAAGATGGTGCAGGACCAAGCAAAGTTCTGTTCTGTCATCTAATAAGGTCGCTATGAGTTGGAGCCAACTCGAAGGCACCTAAAAACAACAATTAGGGCAAGGAATTCCATGTGTACATAAGTATTGCTTATGCTTCTTTACTGACTGAAACTAATAAAAATAAAAGGGAGGGCAATTTGAAGAGAGCTAAGGGGAAAATCAGAGTATCAACCAGAGAGTGGAAAGGTGGTACCAACAATTTCCACAGCTTTTTACCCATGTTGTAGATTGTCTCTCCGAGGAATAATACAAAGGCTTAATTGCCCTAGAAAATATGTCTGTATTTTCACTACCCAGAGAAATCTGGTATAGGAAATAGAATCTGTACCAATTATGGAAAACTATAGCAGTGCCAATTTTGAAAAATATCAACTTAAAATAGATTGGTCCTTTAGCCTGAAACCAGACTGTTTTCTCTTTTGCTGCTACATTAAATGATATTCAATATGTAATTTTCCAATTTAAAGTTGATCAATGGATAATTTAAATGCTACTGGTCAATTTTAACATAGCAAATTTCTTTCATTTCCCTCAAGCTCTAAGGAGCCCTGCATCAGAAAGCTATGGCAAAAAGAGAAAAACTGATCTATGTAAAGCAGTTATCCTTCTCTTCTATGTGAACCTTTGCCTGGAAGAAACACCTAAGAACATATTCAATAGCCTTTCTTGATGAACAAGGAATAATGTTTGGAGTACATTTTTTCCTTCCCATATTCACCATGTTGTTGTTGTCAGGTGCCATCAAGTCAGTTCCAACTCATAGTGACCCTATGTACAGCAGAACAAAACACTGCCCAGTCTGGCACCATGCTCACAATCGTTACACCTGAGCCCATTGTTGCAGCCACTGTGTCAATCCATCTTGTTGAGGGTCTTCCTCTTTTTCACTGACCCTCTACCAAGCATGTGTCCTTCTCCAGGGACTGATCCCTCCTGGTAACATGTCCAAAGTATGTGAGCCATAGTCTCGCCATCCTTGCTTCTAAGGAGCAATATTCACCGTAGAGTCATTAATTTATATTTCCTGATGTCCATTTCCTTTCTGATTTCACATTCGACAGGCAACACAGTTACAGATCTACGGCAAGCGAAAGTTCAAATAATAAGCAATGATGTCTGTAACTCACCAGCTAGTTACAATGGAGCTGTTTTGCCTGGAATGCTGTGTGCTGGAGTTCCTGAAGGTGGAGTAGATTCCTGCCAGGTAAGTCAAGATAACATATCAATGTCATCATCCAAGAAGTTTGTAAGCACTTATTAGTATGTGATCTTATAATAGACATAAAGCTAACACAGTTAAAATATTTAGCCCTGATCCTCTACTATCTAGATTCTGGAGATAAAATTCTTACATGAAGTTGATCTATCATGAAAACTAAATTTTGACAAGTAGAATTGTAAAGTGGCCATGCATACAAGCTCAAGAATTAGACGCACCTAGATTTGAATTCTTTAACCTCTATAATCAATTTTCTTAGAGAAAATAATAGTACCTAACTTTTTAGGTACTATTAATTATTAAATGAAGATTAAATACGTCAGGCATGTATACATAAGCAACAAAGAAATCTCTCCTATTTCTATTTTTGTTAAAACAAGACCATGATTACTGGTATTAATAACTTTAATCTCAAACTTTTAACAACTATGTAGGTTTAAATAAGAAAATAATCATTCATTAAAAGTCAGACAATCATTAAATTTTAAAATATAAATATAACTGAACATTAGCACCTTGAAGGTAGAAAATTTATGAAAAAAGTCGTAACAGCTCCCATAGTTGTGAAAAAGCACAAATGGAAAAACATTAGAATAACAATTTAGCTCTAGCCTATAGTTTTTCAAGCAAATATAAAAAAGGAAACAATAATTATGAAATTTTCACTCTATAGTAATTAGAATAAAAAATTTAATATTAAAATTTTTTATCAAATTATCTGAACTGAATTGATGTGTTTAAGCCTTTCAGTAGGTTTTGTTCATATGTCTGAAAGCCAACCTCAAACCAAACACATTGTTGCTGAGTTGATTCCAACTGACAGTGACCTTATAGGACAGAGTAGAACTGCTCCATAGAGTTTGCAAGGCTGTACTCTTTACAGAAGCAGACTCCCACATCTTTCTCCCATGGAGCAACTGGTGGGTTCGAACTGCTGACCATTTGGTTAGCAGCCAAGTGCTTAACCACTGCACAACCAGAGTTCCTTAACCCAACCCCATATAGTAACAAAAATGACTACTTAGTGTAAGAAATTAAATTTTCTTATAGCCAGGAATTAAGTAAAATCAATCTGTTTGTATTGAGGAATCTGCTGTTGCTTTCCTGGGTAAACTGTATGCAGAAATATAAGGTTTACTCTTTCTATCAAATGTTACTGACTTCCATATTTAGTCTTCATATTCTTGGGAAAGTGGATAATACTTAAATAGTTTGTGCAAAGAACCTAATCTATAAGCACTTTCCCTAAAATGAAGCATTATTATTGACTGCAAGTTGTGTGTGATTGGAGGGGAATTGTTTCTCAATTTTCAAAATACTGTTAATTACCCACTCTGCCCTTTACTCCCTGTAAGTGGAGATATATCTGTGGTAGGGAATGCTCTTGATCTCCTTCTCAATCCTCTTTTATTGCTAGCCCTCTAACAGCAAATTGTCAAGTTTCATGGCAGTTTTCCAAAGAATTCACCTATCAAATAATCAACACACTTCTACACTAATAATTCTAGATCTAACAGCATTAGTTGAAAGAGACTTATGAGATTTAAAAGGGTGTTACTCATGCCTTACTCACTTATGATGCCCCTTATCTGCTGTGTATACAAATTCTGCTCTTCCTTCAAGCCCAGTTCAGTAATAGTTCATCATGAAGCCTTGCCTATGTGTTCCACTCCAGGCCTTATCAATTTTCCTCTGAAATACTATAATGCATACAGTTTGTGCCTCAAAAAAAATAGTACTTTTTACAAGTTCTTATGAGATCCTATTTGTTTCAGTTCATTGTTTTTCTTCATTCATTCAAATAAAATGTATTAATCAGTTTTTATGTGACAGGCACTGTGCTAGCACAATGCACAATACACATTCCCTCACTCAGCAAGGCTATAGTCTAGAAGAAAGGACAAAGCTCAAATGCCTGCAGACAGGCAGTAAAGCTGCCCAGGTATAGGAAAAATTACTTGGCCCTCATTGTTTAATATTTTCTTGCCCACTCTTGAAAAGACATCATACAGAGAAATTTCTTGCTGTAGAAAAAAACAGCAAAAGCACAATGATGGGAAGGTACTGAGAATTGGTTAACCAGAGCACATATGGACCATCTAAAGGAGGCAAATGCCTCCATCCAGTGATTGCCGTGCAAGTTGGTGATTCACATACTTACCCTTTTCCCCATCTAGACCAGTAATTAAATAGGTATGAGGAGAACTATCTACTAAGAGCAGCCAAATGAATGCCAAACTATTCCAGAGGCACACTTAGTAACAATAGCTGACTTTTATTAGTCCTGATTATGTGCCAGGCTTTGCTTAAAGTGCTTTATATGTTAATTCACTTAAACTCATAAAAACATTATTTACAGATGAGGAAACTGAGGCACAGAGAGCTATTAAATCACTTACTCAAGGTCACATAGCTAATAAATGAAGGAGTCAAGATTCAAACCCAGGCTATCTAACTCTAGAACCCAAAGATAACTCACAGCATTTAAGATTTGTTTCCATAACTAGCTTAATACATGAATAAATATTATTGGTTGGTTGGTTTATTATTATATGGCTGTTAAGTATTTCACAAGGAGTGTTTTAATGGCATATAAATTTCTTTTCCAATACTCACCAAAAGAACAGTTTTCAAGGATATACTATGCATCTGGCACCATGCAGGGTGTTATGGATATGAAGATAAGTGAGGCTTCTAGAAGCTTATTCAGTCAACAGATATTTATTTGGCATATCCTATGGACTAGAAGCTTAGGATACAGCAGTGCACAGAATAACTACATCCCTGCCCAAAAAGAGCTTATAGTCCAACACGGAAAACCGACATTGTACAAGAATCATACACGCACTGAGTGTCACAGAAATGTACAGTTGCTGTAACAAGGAGGGCTAACTATTGAGGGTAAGTTCAAAGAGGCAAAGAAATGTGATTTTATCAAATAATGAATAAAAAGTGATAGAGATACAGGATACGGGAACATAGGCAATCAAAACCAATCCAGCCCAAAGCTGGAGAGGAGCAGGAGTGAGGAGCAAAGGAGCAGGTCAGAGAAGGCTTCCTGGAGAAAGTAAAACCTGGGATGAGTAGAAGTCAAGCAGGCAGTCAACTGAAGGAAGTCTATGAAATGTTATTGTTGTTGTTTGATGCCATGAAGTCAGTTCCAACTCAGTGACCCTATGCACAACAGAATGAAACACTATCTCGTCCTGTGCCATGCTCACAATCGTTGTTATGCTTGAGCCCATTGTTGCAGCCACTGTGTCAATCCATATCATTGAGGGTCTTCCTCTTTTTCGCTGACCCTCTACTTTACCAAGCATGATGTCCTTCTTCGGGGACTGATCCCTCCTGACATGTCCAAAGTATATAAGATGTAGTCTCGCCATCCTTGTTTCTAAGAAGCATTCTGGTTGTACGTCTTCCAAGACAGGAAATGTACTTCTCTCTTTTTCTCAGACTTATTGAAGGAACAACTTGTATACTTGGATAATTCCAGTAATTTTTGTGTGACTTGGTATAATATTTCAATAAGAAATGTCAGGCTGGAATTATTGTTATAATGGATGTTACTTCTTCCTCTGCTACCATAGAAATAAACTCTGAAATGTGTTGGCATTGTCTTCACACTGAATAATCAATCATTCTGTTTTCTTCAGGGTGACTCTGGTGGCCCACTAGTACAACAAGACTCACGGCGGCTTTGGTTCCTTGTGGGAATAGTAAGCTGGGGGTTTCAATGTGGCCTGGTAGATAAACCTGGAGTGTACACTCGAGTGACAGCCTACCGTTACTGGATTGCCCAACAAACTGGGATCTAGCCCGATAAATGTATCTTTGTTGCAAAGTCTGTTTGCAGGTGTGCCTGTCTGAAATCTCAAAGCTTTATTTTTCAGCAGAAACAAACACTGAAGTGCCCTATTTGAACAATCTGTTACATTAACGTGTTTTAATACCATTTAACCTTTCTCTAATATTAAGGATCTTATATTTTCTCAAGGAAACTATATGAATGTTGCATATTACTGTGGCTATGTAAAGGTGAAGGAGCCCTGGAGGTACAGTGGTTAAGCGTTCTGCTGCTAACTAAAAGGTCAGCAGTTCAAACTCACCAGCAACTCCATGGGAGATACATGTGGCGATCCACTCCTGTAAAGATTACAGCCTTGGAAACCCTATGGGGCAGTTCTACCTGTCCTATAGAGTCACTAGAAGTTGGAATCCATTCCGTGGTAATGGGCAGTGGCTTATGTACAGGTGAAACATATTAAACTCATTACAGAATTAACAATTTTATTACAGTTGTGATAAGTGCTCATATTGAGAAAAACAGTATACCTTATATACTCAAGTAGATAGTGATAGTTGTGCAACATTGTGAATGTACTTAATGCTACTAAATTGTACACTTTAAAATAGTTAAAGTATTTTTACCACAATTTTTAAAACAGGAGTGTATACTAGAGGAACCTGGATAAGTATGAAGGGTCAGAGGACTCTTCTGTGAAGAAGTCTCATTAAAGCTGAGTACTGACGGGAGGGTAGAGTTCAGGAAGAAGTGGTAAGAAACCATTCCGTACAGAAAAAGCAGTGTGAGACCAGAAAAATACTACTTATTTGAAATTTCTGTTTACTTAATATTTTACAGGTGTTGTGAGTCCTCAAATTAAATACACAAAATCATTGTACAGTCATATAGAATATTAATTATCCTGTAGGAACTATGATGCCCCCATAGGACTAAGTAATGAATTCCAGACATTTAAGTTCAAAGCTAAAAATAGCTCACTCCTCAAATGAGACCCAAAGCACTATAAATAATTTCAAAAAACTATAAATTTCTATGATGAATTTTATTAAAATATCCTTCATCTACTTAAAGGAGAGTATATATCTCCTCCATAGAAAAGCTGAGGAAATACACCTACACAATTTTCTCAGATACTTTACAACTACACAGTCAGTACTTTTTAACAGCCAAATAATAGATATTTTAAGAACTAAGGAATCTATTAGAATGATTTTCCACCATCCAGTTCCCACCAATGGCAGTAATTTAAAGAGTTTAAGGATTCCCAATAGCTAATCCAAGTAATGAATTGAAAGTTAATGAGGAAAAAAAGGAAAACAGTTTGGTAAAAAATAGGTTAAATAGCTTAATTTCAGTAAAATTATATTGCAAAGGGAAGGAACTTTCTTTTCTCATACACACACATACACACACACACACACCCCAAAGAGCATAAACTAAATAAAACTCATTAAAATTTAATGGCACATTAAGATACAACTATTGGTCTCTTCCTATCTGGAGCAAAAGCAGGTGAAGGAAACCAAAGATTCAAGGAAGAAATTAGTCCACAGAACTAACTGCCCACACAAACAACAGCCTCTTCTTGCCTGAGACCGTAAATACTAGATTGTGCCTGGCTATCACCACCAATCGTTCTGACCAGAGATACAATAGGAGGTCCCATTAGAATGGGAGAAAAATGTATAACAAAACTCAAATTCATAAAAAAGACCAGAATTAACTGGACTGATAGAGACTAGAGGAACATTCAAGACTATCTCCCTAAGATACTCTTTTAACCTGAAACTGAAGCCACTCCTGGAGGTCACCTTTCAGCCAAATAATCGACTGGCCTATAAAATAAACAATAAATAACAACAGTGAGGAATGTCCTTCTTTAAACAATCAACTATAGGAGACCAAATGGACAACATTTACCCAAAAGCAAAGATGAGCAGGCAAGGAGGGGTAGGGAAACTGGATGGATGGAAACGAGGCAGGCAGGGTGGAAATGGTGAGAGTACTGACACATTGCAGGAATTGTAACTAATGTCACAGAACAATTTATGTATGAATTGTTGAACGGGAATCTAATTTGCTATGTAAACTTTCAGTTAAAACACAATAAAATATTTAAAAATATATATATATAAAAATAACGGTCCAGCAATTTAAATAGTCTGAATCATAAATGTGACTGAGTTTTAATGGGATCTTAACGTATGTAAAGCTTGGGTTTGCATGAACATCTAAAACCTAACTCACTACACATGGCTATTAGAACAGCTCCATGTATTGTAATGAAAACTTCTTGCATTTCCTGATTTAAAACTTGTGAAGAGATCTACTTTGAAGTCATCTTCTTTTAAGGAAAAGAAGCTGCAATATAACCAACTCTTGGTACACTGTATTTCAAATAAAGCTTTTAAAATATTTCTGCTACCTAATTATTAATGGATGTTATGATTTCTGAAGGACAACCCAAAATAATTTATTTAATTGGTTCTCAAACAAGATAACTGCCAACTAGACTCTAAAGGCTTGGCCCTTTCTGCTACCTTATAATCAAGCCCTATAACTGAGGCAAGTATCCAGCTTGACACTCCCTGGCTGCACCCCGTGAGGACAACATTAAACTGGTAATTTGGAGTAAGCACCAATGGGGATGTGCATGGGTGTGTTTCTACGTGTGTGTGTGTGTGTGTGTGTGTGTGTGTGTACTCTCAGATAATCAAAACATATTTGTATCTATTTCTATGTATTGAAAGTTACATAAAGGAATGTGTCGTAGAGCACATAAATTAAAAAAAAAAATAAAATGTTATTATTTAGCAGAATATGCAATACATGCATATTTTATGAAAAGACATAAAAACCAAAGGAACATGTATTTTAAAAAGTTTCTTTTTTATGTACTGATAGGTTCCTTTTTCCGGACACCCAAGTGAATCCATGAAAGTAAGTTTGAATATTTATGGAGATTAGGAGTGGTTCCATAAATCCTTTCAGTCTTTAAAAAAAATCATTCTTGAAAGTCTAGCAAAAACTTTCCAACTTTTCTGACTCAGTGCAAGAAAGGGTCATTAATACCAGGAAGAATCCTGTTCAGCATGTAGTTTAAAATAATGACTAATAAAAAGCACGACAAAATGAATATTTGATATTCAAACTGAATCCTCCTGAGTTTAAAGCAGTGACCAGATCCAATGAAAAGAGTCAAAAGTATCTAAGAACACTGAGAGGAAACAATTGGCTATTTCTGCATTACTTGGAGTATCTTAATTACAGAGACTATAGATCATTTATTTAAAAAATGTATTGAGCCCTACTATGTTCTAGGCTCTAAGGAAAGAAAGAAAAATAAGACATAGTCTCTACCCTTAGACACTCAGAGAATAGGGGTGTTAACAAACATGAACACCTAATACAATATAATGTAATGGACACAATGATAACAGGTAGAATATTTAGCATAGGATAACCTAAGAAGGCAGGGTTGGGTCCAGTGAGACTCAGGGAAAATACATTTAATTTATAGTAATATAAAAATTGAGTCTTCCAGAACATCAATTTGCCATGGGTCATAATAATTACCTTGTAATTAGAGAAAAGGAAGCTAAGAACTTCTCAGATTATGAATCTAAATCTTTCACTGGCTCTAATTTACACAATTTGCTTCCTATTTTCCAATTTCCTAAATATTAAATGGTTCGAAGAGACCCAAAGTAGATTTTCTCTTTATATTTTTATACGTCCACAAAATCCAAGCCTCAAAAGTCGGTCCTTTCCACTTCTAATTAGTTTCATTAATCTCCTATGTGGATAACAAGTCATTTCCACCTATGTTTCTTGTGGTTCATTTCTGTAAGAATCAGTTACGTTTTGAAGGAAGAGGTCCTTTATCATATCCTGGGAGGTTTTTTGTTTTGTTTTGTTTTTTGAACATTTTATTGTTGTTTAGGTGAAAGTTTACAGAGCAAATTAGTTTCCCAGTCAACAATTTATACACAGCTTGTTTCAGTGACGTTGGCTGCATACCCCTGAATGTGTCAGCACTCTCCCCACTTCCTCCCTGGGTTCTCCATGTCCATTTGCCCAGCCTTCCTGCCCCACCATCCTTCTGAACTTTGCTTTTGGACAAATGCTGCCCTTTAGGTCTAGTACAGTTGATTATTTGGAGGTGTACATTCCTCACTGGTGTTATTGTTCAGTTTATAGGCCTGTCTATTGTATGGTTATAATGCTATCTCCAGGAGTGATTTCAGTTCCAAGTTTGAAGTGTGTATAAGAGCTATAGTCTTGATGGTTCTACCAGTCCGTATTAGATTAGTAAGTCTGGTCTTATTTATGAGTTTGAATTTTGTTCCACATTTCTCTCCCACTCTGTCAGAGCAATCAGTAGTAGTAGCCAGGCACCATCTATTTCTTCTGGTCTCAGGCTGGTGAAGTCCATGGTTCATGTAGTCCATTAGTCCTTTGGACTAATTGTTTCCTTGAGTATTCAATTTTTTTCACTCTTCTTTGCTCTGGATAGGAAGAGACCAGTTGTTGTATCTTAGATGGCTCATGGAAAGTTTTTAAACAGAAGCTGAAGGACTATGTGCAGAAATGTTTTAGAATATTTCTGAATTAAGATGGACTTAAAATCAGATCACTTCCAAGGTTGCTTCCCAGTCTAATATTTTAACCATGATTAGCAAGTATTTTTGAGGGAGAGAAAGTCTCTGATAAAACAAGGAATTCACAAGTATATTAGAGTTTGTTTAATCTGGGGCATCACAACCATTAACCAAATCATCTAGAGTAAAGAAATCAAATTAATTAGAATTCAAATTAACTAGAAAGTCATTCTGGAGAAAAAGGTAATTGAAATAAATTGAAGAATTATTTTAAAAAAAATAAAAGAAGCAGCAGCTTGCAGGACATTTTCCAGGGCTATCTCTACATTTGTGGAGCCCTGGTGGCACAGCAGTTAAGAGCTCAGCTGTTAACCAAAAGGTAGGAAGTTCAAATCCCCCAGCTGCTCCTTGGAAACACTATGGGGCAGTTCTAGTCTGTCCTATACTGTCGCTATGAGTTG